TTTTCCCAATTGTCTCATCATATTTTTATAGTTTTAGATTTGAATCAGGATCTAAAATAAAGTGCATCTATTGCATTTGGTTGATGTGTTCCTTGAGACTTTTTTTGGAAAACTGATGATCATTGTCTGAGAGACAGCACTGTGGAATACTATAACATCTCCCAATTCTGTGTAATTTTCCTCGGTGTCAATATACCATTTAATTTTAGGAGAACTAAGGAACAATTGCAGGTGTAGGTACAAAAGCCTCCAAGGTTTAACTTTAAAATTCATTTCTAGACACACTTAGGAGGGTAACTATAAAGATAGTGAATAAAAAAAGAGGACAGAAAAAAGAAAAGGCTGCAGTGAGTGTTATGGAGACAAACGAAGGCTCAGGAGGAACAAAAGAAAATGAGAAAGGCAGCAGAGACTTGCATAAGCCCCGTCCACCGAGAAGCTCAAAAATCCTCACAAATGTGTTATCTTATACATCTTCGTATCAACTCAGTGAGCAGGTGGTAAAAAAACGAATCTTTAAACAAGAACATTCTGCCTATAGCACTTTCCCCAAACAGCTTAATAAATAGCTGAATAGACATCATGTAACTAATCCTCTGTGTAAACTAGGGAAGTAGTAGGGATTCTAATTCCCAGGTGATGGAACTTAGTTGATGAGGCTAATAATAATCAGAAGATTGGTTCACACTTAAGTCATTTGCCATTTGTCAAGCGTTGTGCACACATTCTATTACATCATCTAACTTAATCCTTGTATAAGCTTATGACATTGGTCCTGTTAGTATCTTCATTTTACCCACGATAAAAATGACACTCAGAGAGGGTGAGTAACTCTCAGATTGAGTGTCGGATCTAGTTACAGATCTGGAAGATTATAGAGATAGGATTGAAATTCAGGACTGTCAAATCTATTGTACGTTTTTCCCCAGGTCCAACCACTCTCCGCTAAGTCAGAACATACTTTCTCACTGGCAAAATTTCATTGAAAGGGAAGCTAAGATCATCTCCAATAATAGGGCAGGTGTACTGAAATTTACAAAGCATTTTTCTCACAGACTTTCTCATTTCTTTCTTCTAAGCACCCTGAAAAATAGACAGCGCAGATGTGTCCATTTGTGTTTTATACATGAGGAAATGGAAGTTCAAATATCTTGGTCATGTTAGAGATCACAAAGCTAGGAAGGATAGTTAGTATTGCAGAGCTAGTTAATGACAGTGTTAGGACCAAAGAGCCTTTCTCCTGATTCCAAATCCGGCTCTTCTCTGATTTTCTTTGCAAACCTCATGGGCTCCCCACTTTAGCTGCTGGCTTCCCTTCATGTCCCCTCTGATGTTCCTTATGAGGAGCCGAGCCGGGTTATTACAAATTAAATATCTGGATGCTTGAACTGATGAACAGGAAATGAGGCTGCTAATGCTCAGAGGAATGAAATCAAGATGCATTTTTTTTTAAAGTAGAATTTTGGGCCAAGTGGCCTCCTTCTGTCCTGCCCTTCCCTGTGTCCTTCCAGTCTCCATGGAAACCCCAAACCAATGCAGCATATGTTGATTCATGTTTCTACTGTTACTAGGATGCTACGAAGTGGAAATAGCTTTTAAAAGATTTGCGGAAGAGCTTTAGCATGCTGACCAGAATTCAAATCTAATATTCAAATGACTATTTTATTAAAAGCTTTTAATGTGGTACTATCTTAGGTGGTATGTTGATTAAATAAACACACAGGAGGCTTTTGGCAATAAACCTCCTCCTCCACTACCATGGCTTTTAAAAATATTATATTGCAGATTTTAATTCCCTTTATCTTCAATTTAATCACATTTTTGTGGCCTGTGTGACAATGCCAGGTGCTCCTTTTGCTTTCGATTAATCTCACCCTGCCCTGACCAGGCTGTTGGGCTAGTTTGCAAATGCCTTATGCACCTGTTCTGCTGTTGCAAGTGTTGCTGGCATTCCGTTAACTTCGGTCTTTACCAGGAGACCACAGAAGTCTAATATGTTTCTGCAGTAAGGAATCCTTGGTGATTTTTTCCAATTTTTTCATAAATTCAAAATCAAATTCAGCCAACACTTATTAAACACCTCTCCATACAAGGCAATGAGAACTGGGAGGGGAGTAAGTCGTAGAGTCTGTCTTTTTGGAGCGCACAGTCAGTTGGAAGGAGCAGAAAACAGGAATCATAGGGACCAGCTAAGCCTGTGATGTGGACTGTCAGAGAATCATACAGCAAGATGGTGGTATTGGGATGGAGGGACCCCTTCTGATTGAGGGAGTTCTGGAAAAGCTTTGGAAAGGAGAAGTTCTAACTTGGAGGAAATGGGTTTAGAGAAGGAGCTGGGAGTTAACAGGCAGATCCAGAGTGGGGACATTCTGGGCAGAGAGAATAGCAGAGAAATTAGGGGCGCATCTGTGTGAGCAATGGGATATAAATTAGATAGGTAAATAGGATCAATTTATTGTCAGGCAGGACAAGGAACAGGAATGGAGCCCATCAAAGGTGACTCTACAGATGGCCCAGTTCATGGTGTCTGTTCAGTGGGTAACTACGGCAGTGGTGTAGTGAGTGACAAGGTCTGTGGGTGGGCAGGGGGAGATACACGGCAGGGACATCAGTTATTTAAGAGGGGATGGGAGGACATGCACTGTGCTGGGAGGAGAATAACCTCTGACATGGCAGTGTGAATGGATGGGAGGGGATGAAGATGAGAAATATTTCAGAAATACAGTGAAAAGATTTAAAAAGCAATTGAGCAAAGGAAATGGGGAAAAGGAGCCAGAAATATCTGCACTTGTTACCCTGAGGGACGAGGACAGAGTGATGTCATGAACTAATACAGGGATTCCAGCAGGAATGGAGGACTGGGAGGGGAGAGGTGGTTTTTCCACTAGGGTTGTGGGGCTGTCCAGCAGACCTCTGGAAAAGCAGCCTGGAGCTCAAGAGAGGCAGGACCTCTCTTCTCCGGAGAGAAGCAGTGGTTGGTGCCCTGAAAGAGGGCAGGTTTCCCAAGAGAAGCAAGTGTAGAATGGGAAGAGAAGAGGGGTGCCAGGCAGCAGGAGGAGTGAGAAGCAAGAGCAGGGCTTGGAATGACTGTTTTCCTGGGGAAAACCATGGGTCGTGGCCAGTTGAGGTGTTTTGTGCCCAGTCTTCAGCCAATAAGTCAAGAGCAGTAACCAGAAAAGAATCCAGGGCTCAGTATTCCCGGGCCAGGTGCTAAGTCTGGGGAATACAGAGTCCAAGCGGACCAGTTCCTTTCTCACAGGCACACAAACCTGCCTGCCTTTTCCCGTCTTCAGGAAGACCGTGCTAGAATGCTTTACTTTAGGTTCCACTTAATTCCACCCCCCCGGAATTCTTTATGCACCTACCTCTTTGGAAGATGAAGTTAGAGTCCTTCCATGGGATGGGGCCTGTACTAGGTCTGTGCTTTGCAAACTGGGGTGCTTTGGGGTTACTCCTTGTGTTTAGGAGTGTTCTGGTAAAAACGTTTGACTAGTTTCAATTTCCTTCTTTCCCTCATGTGATTATACATGTCCACACATTCTTGTCCCTCTGCTCTTCACATTCCTGCACTTTCCTTTAAAACTTTATTAACTACTTTATCTTTTCGTAAACATTTGACCTATTGACTTCCTTTGACTACATTATTCTCTAAAGGCTAATTGAAGATTCTGACGTCTGGTTAATATCGATCAGCTTCCACTTAAGACTCAGGCACATCTGCAGCCCTGCTCTCTCTGCTCGGTGCCTTTAGATCCTGGATCCCAGACTGGGCAGCATGAGGCCTGGAGGAGGCCTTTATCCCAGCATGTCAGCACTGGTGGAGAAGGCTCCCATGATGACACCACCTTTGCATTAAAGCGAGAGGCAGAGCAGAGGCTGGAGCACCGAGTCTGGTATTAAACACCACTTCTGCCTTCCAAATGACTTGTCTCTGTTTTTCTATCTGTAAAGTGGGGATGATAAAGGTGTCAGCCTTGTACATTTTGGGGGGAGAATTAAATAAGATAGCACATGTGCAATGTTTAGCACAGTATCTGGCACATACTAAGTGCTTACTAAACGTTAGCTATGTGATTTCACCTTGGGCTATAAACATATCTCAGATTAGGGAAGTGCTTATGAATGGGCTTTTATTCATCAGTTTAGCTGTGTACCCATTTCTTATGGTACAGTGTACCAAGAAAACGTCCAGAAGTGAAGCATTCTCTTTCTGCTTAAGCTCTAAACCCCAGCTAGCATCAGGGTTCAAGACAGGGGCTATAAGGAATGGAAAATTTTTGCATCTCATTTTACAACACAAAGTTTCCTTTGCCTGACAGAGGGGCACTGTGGACAGCACCAGAGAGAGAAAATGAGTCACCCCAGAGGCAGGATCAGAATTTGTATTTCATCCTGTCAGCAGGCAATGAGCAGTTGTGGCAGAATCATTTCACTGAGAGAATACAGGTTATGCACCAATAGATCTGCCAGGAAAGACAGGTCCCCGTAATAGAAACAGTTCTGCTGTTACAGTCATAAGACAATTTCTGGTCCTTGTGCTGCCCTTTACATATTGTGTCTCTTTGAAAAAGACACTTCACTTTTCTAGCCTCAGTTTTCTCATCTGTAACATGGGAATGATAATACTCTTTCTATGGCATGGGATTGTTGAGTGGCAGTAGATGAAAATGTTTTTCACACTTTAAATGGTTAAACAAATGGAATCTGTTACCTTTGTTATAAAGCCGCCACATTCTGGAGAGATTTCTGCTGCCTTCTAAGTGTCAGAAATGACTTGCAGCAAAGGCAAGGTATATTTGGAACAAGTTCCTGAGTGAGAGTGGAGACTCAGCCTTAGTGACCTGGAGCATAATGAGAAGACAAGCTTTATCCCAGGGTAGTGTTTGCAAATTTTAGCATGTGTCAGAATCACCTGGATGGATGGGCCCCACTCCCAGAGTTTCTCATTCTGTAGGTCTGGGGGTGGGGCCTGAGAATCTGCATTTCTAACATGCTCCCAGGTGACACTGACGCTGCTGGTCTAGAGACCACACTTGGAGAACCACTGTGCTAGTGCCACAAGGAAGAGAGTCCTCCTGGAGCTGAAGCAGGCAGTGTGAAGATCCATGTGGGTAAGGAGGTTTGGAAGAAAAAACGGAAAAGAGACAGAAAAATAGGGATAATGTACAGATTGGGCAGAACAAAAGGAAAAGTCTCACTTCATAACAAATGCAAGTAGGGGGGAGTTGCTAGGTGATGGAAGAGGGAGAGGTGAGTTTCTAGTGCAGGAAAAGCCAGGTGAGAGGCAAGAGCATAGAGTTGAAATATGTGCATTTGGGGAGGCAGAGGAGGTGGAAATTTCTCATTAGGAAGTGGGGAGTGGTGTGGTTGGCACTGGTGGGGGCTGGGAGTAGAGATGGGCTGGGGGAGCAATGCCTCTGTAGACTAAGGGGACAGCTGAGATGTGGCAAAGAAGGGTAATTTCAGGGCTGTGTGGTTTGGCTTGGTAGTGCAGCACAAAAGATATTGGGAGAAAGGGGGTGGAATTTAGATGTGTGACCTGCCCCGTAGCTTTCTTGCTCTCTGCATTTATCACATCACATCACACCCAGCAAGACAGCCCCCCTCCTCCTGGCTCATTAGGAGATTTGATTCAGCTTGGCTCCTGCTGTCAGCAGCTGTCTGGGGCAAGATCTTTATGCTCCCTGCTCCCTGTGCAGCAGCCAGCCTTCAGCCAGCAGCAGAGCTCATTAGAAGAGGGCTGCCTGGACTCTTGGTCTGCAGCTCATTGGTGGCTGAAAAGAGTTAATATCTATTCTTTGCTGCCCCCTGCACAGCCTCTGGGTGCAGAGGGAGGCAGCTGTGGGCTGTGGGGATTTCTCCCTGAGCCACAGCCAAAGGAGCTTCAGGTTAGTGAGGCTGAGGAGGAAGGTGCAGGAGGCGTGCCGGGAGAGCTCTGCTCAGGGGCACCTCCTGCATCCTGCCAATGAGGATGGGCATGCAGACCATGCCCAGGAGCCAAGCCGCCGCCCGCTGGGTGTAGGCTGCTTCAGTATTTACTGGATGTGACAAGCAGAGAGAAGAGCTTACGGCGGAGCCGCTTGCTGCCTGGCTCAAGTGGTGGGAGGTGTGTTGTGCATGCATGCGTGTATATATGTGTGTGCGTGCCTGTGTGTTCATGCACACATGCCCTTCACCTGCCAAGGATTTGACTGCTAATAGAAAGATCTACTCTTTCCCCAGAGCTCCTTAACCCACAGCTTTTCTGACCATCCAGTTGGCAAAGACCTGCAGGCCATGAGGACTGGTCAAAGACAGTGAGTATTGCTTTTGCTTTTCTCTTTCCTCTTTGGGGTTCCTGTGTGCACTGACTGCATTATCCATATTTAATTAACCTGCCTCTTCATGCATATTGATTGCTTTCTCCCTGCTGAGGCTCTCAGTTTTTCTCCCCCTTGTTATAAATCTTTGCTCTTTGTTTCTAACCTTTGTTTTCTCCTTGAGTATCCTCTCTTTCAATTATGTCCCATCCTGTCTGCCCCAAAGTCACTTATAACTTGCGGCCCATCTGTAAGGGCACATGCACTGTGGGTGCAATGACACCCTTGAACTTCCTGGGCTCTGGGTTATTCCTGACTCTGTTCCCCATCGGTCTAGGGCCAAACGAGATAAGTGCCCTGAGGTGCCAGGATGGACAGGGCAGCTAGGTCAGCATATCCTGCTAGTTCTTATTTAGTGGAGTCCAAGGCTGAGCTAATCAAAGGGGTGGGGAAGAGGTCAAGGGGCAGTTTGGGCAGTGCTGGATCCGGAAGAGAGAGGCAGGCATCTGAATGGCACAGGCAAGCCGGTGTGGGCTGGCAGTGGGATGAGAAGAGCCACAAGGCAGAGACAGGAGGCTGGCAGTTCCCCTGCCCCAAATGACCTTGCTGAGGTGTATGTGGGAAGTAGAGGTTTTGCTCAGCTCCAGGGTAATGAATGCCCCTGCGGGGGCTCCCCCTTGCCCTGGGGCCATATCCCACAAATAAGAGAAAATGAGGAAGAGGTGCCCCAAACATGATTTCTAGGGACCCTTAGAAACTAAAGGGCTTTGGTTTCCTGACTTCCGGGCAAGCAGGTATAAGCCCGGTTAGGACGAAGATTAAGTAAACGTCCCTGTCAGGGAATGCAATTCATGGGTATGAGGCTTTACGTAAAGTCTAACTAGTTTATTTTTGTTTGTTTTAACAAAGCAATCTTTCTATTTTAGTAATTATAGTATTATTAGAGAAGCTATTTAAAGTATTTGTGAAATGTTCGGGGTAATATCAAAATAATTTAAATGGCGCAGCTTACCTAGGAGGCTTATCTATCTAAATTAGGTTTCTTTTAAGATGGATTCTATGTTTGCTGTCAGAGTCCCCCCGGGGAATCCTTTATGGATAGGCTGCTCTCTTCACACTTTCTTCCTATCTGTTCTTTTCTGTGGGAACAAAGGGTTTGAAGCACTGAGAATGGGACCCTCAGGAGAAAGAGACTATCAGTCCATCGGCCTTCAGCCTCAGAATCCCCTTTTCCCCCCACCCCCATGTCCACCCTGCTTTGGGTCAAGAATGGGCCAGTCCCCAGGCTGAGGAAGGTCATGCAGCCTCCACCTGGGCAAGAGAGGGTGACCTGCATTTCATTTCTTCAGCCTGTGCCTTTGATCCCTGCCAAGGAGCAAGCCTGCATGGTGACGTGCCTGAGGAGCCTCCCTCGGAGTTACTCCAGCCTCCCTCCCGTGCCAACTTTCCCAAGTCTCCGTGCACGCCCACCTGGGACAGGTGCCCTTGGAGGGAGGCGAGAATCAGAGCAGCATCCAATCAAATTATTTTGGAGCAAGTGCCAACCCCCCTCCCCCACCCTTACTGGCTGGTCACTTGGGCCCCATTCTAGTAAGAGAAAGAGATCAGCAATTTTTGGTCTCCCAGGCCCATGCCTCCCTGGGGGCACATGTCCCACTTTGCTATTGATGGCCAGTGGTTGGGGAAGTAAGAACTCCTGACCCACAGACAGCAATGGGAAGCCACCCAACCATCAGTTCTTGCTCATCCTTGGTTGGTTGCCCTTGCTAAGGGCAAGTGGACGTTTGTGGGGACTGGGGTGTGTGGGGGGAGGTGTTCCACTGACGGAGAGCCATCTAAGAGGACATGTAGTGCAGTCAGATGAGAGAGGGTGGCCCCTCTTACAGCAGATTCTTTGATTTTAGGTGAGAGGACGTGAAAGGGTAAATCCCTGAGCCCCGCAGTCTTATTTCCTGCCCTGACGTCCCTGCAAACCAGCCTAAGGGTTAACTGTAAGCGGATGCCTGTATGGCTGCCTTACTGATGCCACGCAGGTAATGGATTGATGACCTGTTTTCTTGACCCTGCCCCTTTCCCCCTTTCTCCACCTTCCCACCTCCCCTGCTGTTTGAGCCTGGACCAAGCCTTCTAAGCCCAGGAATGGCCCCCTTGCTTCTGTACCCTAGGCCTCCTGTGTGGACTGTGCTGTTCTTGCCTGCGTGCTTCTTGCAAAGTCGTGGCCTTGCAAGCTGGACCTGCCTTAGCTCCAAGCCCTTGCATTGACTGGTGGGAGGTCTTGGTGGTGACTTATGGGGTGGTACAAGGGACTGTGCATGAGCTTGTATGGAATCATTTAGAGACCTCCCTGAGCTACTGGGACAGAGAAGACAGATGAGGGCAAGCCTTGTTTTGCTTGTTTTATTTTCAAGTAAACTTAACCTTTGATTCTTGCTTCTGCTCCTATTATTTAGACCTAACTAAGCAGATTATAACTCAGAGCTCAGCTAGGAAGATGGAAATAAAAACCGTTTTACCCAAATAACATTTTGTTGAAGATTTTTGCAAAGAATTTGGAAGAATTACAGTTGTCTTGGTAACAAGTAGCACCTTTTACACTGGCCCCTGCTAAAAACCTTGTTAAATAGCTCATGTAGTTTTGCCATTTTTTTGAAAGTCCTTTTAATTGCTCTTTGGGGACAGTGACCTGACTGTTTTATGACTGATGATCCCGGGGCACTGAGGAATGAACTGACTAGGGAAAGTTGGGTTCCGGCCTGCGGTGTGGCCTGAGCAGGACCTTTACTTGAATTCGTGGAATGTGATGACTCAAGGGCCCTTAATCAGTGGCTTGCATGGTCTGGTGTCAGGCACCCTGTGATTTTTAAGAGTGAGTGGACACAGGAGATGCTTGCTGTCTCAGAAGAGAGGATAACTGTAGTCACTGTTTGGAAAAGCCATGAAATAGATGGTTTCACACTGCGGTCTGGCTGAGATTCGAGGTGGGAAGAGGGAACAAGCAGGCCCAATTTCCTTCAGGACAGAGGATATTTCTGGGAACTTGAATGTTCCAGCCCTGAGAGGCTCTGCAGAGATGTGCTGCAGCATACCAATGTTGTCCACCCCTGACAAATACAATACCATCCCAGCAAGCATCTGTTGGATAACATTTCTGTGGATAAAGGCAATTACCAGGGATGAAAAGCCATTTGAAGTGAAAGGAAGTGATTGCATTGGGTGACCTGTAAGGTCTCTGCCCATCCCTAGGATTTGTAAAAAACAGGGAGGGAAAACCAGGCTGGAAGGACTTCCTTTCAAGACGGAGAATGGCATCTTCTAGGACTATTTCCATGGCATATTGTCACCAATGTGTGCATAGTTCACTTGTATATGTCACTCTTAAGTCCTCATCTGATTATACCAAACACTTTCCATTTACCTTTGCCCTCAAATAAGGAGTTGACAGTTAAAGGTCGGGGGCTAGCAAACTTATTCTGTCAAGGGCCAGAGAGCAAGTATTTTCAGCTCTGTGGGCAATACAGTCTGTGTTGCAGATCCCCAACTCTGCCCTTGTAGTCGAAAGCAGCTTTAGACAATAATAAACAAATGGTGGTGTATTCCAATAAAACTTTATTTACACAAACAGGCGCCTTTGCAGGGCTGTGGATTTCCAACCCCTGGTTAGAAGTAAACAGGAGCTAATGTTGGGAGTCAGAAGGAGACATTAAGATAGTTTCTCATTAGATCATCCATAACAGATAGCTATTTAAGTGCCTGATGTTGTTATATGGGTCCTTTGGACAATAAAAAATATGAGGAATTTAAACATACATGCTAACAATTTAAATTTGTTTGCTGAGATGTCAAAATATAAATAGGACTTACAAGAGCTTAGTTAAGCAAGTATAAGAACTGACAAAGGGGACAGAGGTTCCCAATGGCTGATTGTACCAACTGCCCTTCTCCTCACCTGCAGGCCGGTCCTTGCTGGTCTGTAGCCATTCATGTAGATAATCACATCTGTGAGGATGAGTGGGGATGACCTGAGTCAGAATTGACCTGCCTTGAAGCCCCATACTTTGTGCTCTGAGACTCTCTGACGTGCACCCCTGCATCCCGCAAGCTTCCCTCTACTCTCGGTGTGGGTTCCACTTCTGGGGCTTTGCAATCTGGAGCTGCTGCTGCTGCTGCTACTTTGCCCCCTGAGTGGGAAAGCAAAATGTGGATTGTTATTTTGTCATAACTGTATTTCCTTTCCCTACAGAGAATCCTAATTTAGACATTCTTCCAAGCTAATGACCTTCATTGACTTACCATCCACTTGCTGTGTCAGCTTTAAAAAGCATTAAGCCTCTAGAGGTAGGGCAGGGTACCTATTACTATTCCAGTAGTCAAGATAAGGAGTGAGTATATCCCTTGATTCTGCAGGTGTTCTCTCTTTGTTAATGAAACCTTCAGGGGCCACATGGGCAAGGGGAGGGGGCAGTGTCGTGCTGTCTCCTGCAGCTGCAGCTCCAGAGACCCTTTATGGAGATGACAGCTGTGATCATGACAGCTCCTGTTCTTCTGCCCCTGTGCTTGTTGCAGGAACAAAGGGATGAGGACTCGACTGGGATGCCTGTCTCACAAGTCAGACTCCTGTAGCGATTTCACAGCTATTCTTCCTGACAAACCCAACCGCGCTCTCAAGTGAGTAGTATGGCCACATGGCATTCCCGGGGTGCCTGCCGTGGGGCACCCACCATGGGGCTATAGAACCCATTCTTCTCGGGGAAGTTGCTGACCAGATGAACCACAGGACAATAAATCCCTCCCTCTTGGCAGCTCCTTTTGTATTCCTGGATGTGATTGGAAGGAATGTTTATTTTCTTTTTCAAAATGTATAGCTTAGTGATCTCAGAAAGGAGATTCTCCTTTGCCTCCTAAGGAAGCCGTATCATCCATCACTCAGAAAGCTGTGGGTGGTGAAGGATACTTCTTGGTTCTACTTAGTTGTCAATCTGAGCTCTCAATTTGGAAATAACCACTCAAACTTACTCTAAAAATATGCTGAGGTTCAGGTAATCTGGATTCAGCACCTATTCTGTGCAGGCGGTCTGTTATATGATATCACAGATCCTTGTTTAACTCTCACACAGCTCTGTAATGGGCATTATTATCCTCATTTCAGAGGTGAAGAAATCAAGGTGACCGTAAAGAGGAGTCAGGAGCTCAGCCTAATTTTTCTGACTCCAAGTCCAGTTTCCTTCCATTGTTACCCTGATGTCTTTCAATAATGCTCTTACTTAGCTTAGTTCTTTAGACTGAGAGCCAATATACTAACTCCACTGAATTCAAATCCTAATGTTTTTCAATTTGTTACTTAAGAATGTACAAATTTAACAGTAAAATAATTGCAGGAATCCAGGTATGGTCTTTATGTGCCCCCAATTGTTCCCATTTATTCTCCTGAGCAAATCTCGGTGGTCATCAAGGGAGAGGAGGTCATTTGAGAAATATTCAGGAGAGATGTTTCTTCATTCCTAGGAGACTATCCACAGAAGAAGCTACTCGATGGGCAGATTCCTTCGATGTGCTTCTCTCCCATAAGTGTAAGTAGAATTCAGGTCACAGCATGTCGCAGCAAATCATCCATTTAGTAAGCAATGTACCGAATGCCTATCATGATCGAGGGCTGCTCTAGATATCCCAGACCTCTGTGAGTCCTGCCCTCTCCGAGCCTCCTGCCTGAAGGAACACAGAGATAAGAGAGCGGACAATTTAAATGCAGTGACATGAGGACCTTTTTTTTTTTCCCTTCTGATTTCTGGGTTTAAAGTATAGTCCCAAGAAACCTTCCTGTTCTCAGCAATTTTAGCAAGAAAGAGTTCAGCTTGGGGGTTTGGAATGATGGGATCCATGGGAATGAGAATCTAGATTTCAGCCCAGATCTTGTTTACAAAATTAAATGACCTCCCCCCAAGTCGTTGGAGAGTCTCGGGCTATTCATAAACAAATGAATATTCTGTGTGTTTTATTAGTCTGTTACGTGGCCAGAGTTGTGAGTTTTCTTGTGGCTTTCTATTTTGAGGGCTTACTCCCCAGCAGCACTGTATTCCTCATTTCTGACTTAGTATGACTTCTGTTATTCCTCATTTCTGACTTAGTATGACTTAGTATGACTTCTGCGATGACTTCTGTTTCTCACCAGGACAGTAACAGTTGTGCACATTGCTGCATGGAGAGGGCAATTTGACGTCAGCCAAACTTTTCAGCTCCTGCTTTTATCTCCTCATGAGCAAATCCAAATTCCTTGGGTTTTGAAATCCCAGTGGCGTTAAATTCACAGGAGTGGCAGAGCAGGGGTGAGGAAGAGAGAGGGGTGTTCTGAGGAGGCAGGAAGGTTCCAGACAGATATTCGGTGCTCCTTTTAAATACGCCACATCATTGTGAGAGTCCTAAGTGACCTGGGAGCAGAAGGGCTGCTTTTAGTTTGGAGTATGGTTTCCACTTAATTGGGGAACATGGTTGGGTACAGTTAGGTTAAAAGCATTGGGTGCGAGTCAGACCTGCGTTCTTGATTTTGACTCAGCTTTGCTGCCGGATGGGTGGCCTTAATAGAGACTCTTGGTCTTCAGAAGGTGACTTCAGAAGGGATTTTGCTTTCAACTTGATGAGCAGGTCCCTCTGACTTTGTCCTTGATCCCAATAATTAACAAATGCTTTTGAATAGATTTCAAAATGAAATGCAAAATTTAAGAATAAGCACGTGTTGTAGTGAGTGATTTTGTGAGACAAATAGTCATTTTAGTGTTCTATGGATTACAGTTAGGAAGGAAAATCAAACAGCATAGATACAGCATATATAACATATGGCGTACCCCAAACAGCAAGCTTGTGTAATGAATTTGCCAAGGTAATGGCATATGTGTGATAATATTTAGGATTTGATAGTAATGTTTTCTTTTTGAAAAATGAGGCTATTCTGACTTTTTGTCGGTAATCATATTAGGCTAAACAAAGTGTTACTACCAGTTTACACCCTCTTTTCCGGCTGGATTTGATTCAAGGTCATCTTGAAGTTTGGTTTCTATTTCAGCCTCAGGACTGACTCACTTAGTTCAAGTCCCTGAGGCTGTCTCCTCTTCTAAAATGGGGATAGAAATACCTGCTTGCTACCTGTTGCCTGCATATGAGAAACTTACTAGACACCTTTAGATGATTTAGGGTTCTCTATTCAAAGGTGGTTTTAGAAAGATGTGGTGGCATTTTCAAAAATTATATATTTATTTATCACATGCAAAATAAAGGTTCCTTGAGAATTAGGTTCAAAACTTTGCTGCCAATTATTAATATTAAACCATTATAGACAGAGTTTATGGTGGTGAAATTAGTGGCTGGATGCTTAAGGCATATTTGGATTACTGCAGTGATAAGACCTGGAGATTTAAGAGGTTTAATTTTATTTGTTTGATTCAATGACTTTTAAATCTGAAGACAATTAATTCTGCTTCTGTCAAGGATGCTTCTGGTTTTAAGGAATGCAATGACGCTTTTCTGATATGGGGATTTTGTTAAGGGGTCACAAGCTGACACCAGATTGCTTTGTAAAACAACTACGGGAACGGGCTTTTTGAACTTTGAAGTATTCAATGATCCTTCTTGGAGTCTGATGTTCTGTCTTTATTTCTGTTTAATAGGAAAATAAAAAGCCAGTGGAGCGAATGTCTTTGAGAAGATGGGGATCTGTATTGAGGGGTCACTGGTAGAATTTCAAGCATTTAGAATTTGAACATTTACTTGCCTGTGCAGGCTACAGAGGAGTCAGAGCCCTGGTTACCTTGAAGGGTGTTGACAACTTTCTAGAAGTCTAATTAATTTGGGTTGGTACTGTGACTCAATTAGGACTGATTAAGCTTTTCCAAAGGGATTTGCACGTGTTCTGGTCCCTTAGGAAGAACAGCGTTGATCAGAGGTATGCGGAGCTTTCAATTAAGACAACAAAAATGTCCTAAGAAGTAAAGAGTGGAGAATCCCTAAATGACTAGGCTCCAGAACAATGCATGTTAGTCTAGAACCCACTCCCTGGTAATTCTCCATACCTAGGCAGCTGCTCTGCCAAAGTTTCTATTTCAGAAAATCCAAATAATTATCTTTTTCCCCATTCTCGATCTATAGAGCATCCTTGGTATCACCGGTCTGCCTGGCTATTTTGGGCACTCATTGATTTTAAGACAGATGTACTTACAGTGTTTATTATGTACAAAATCTTTGCTAAGAAGCTTTGGAGAGAGCACAAAGATGAACAGAACACAGTCCATCCCTGGTGGAGAGTGCAGCCTTCTGAGAACACAGGCATGCATACAAATAACACAAGAAACAATACAGTGTGCTGACTACACACTAGGTGGCTTCAAGATTTCAAGCAGAATCCTGACATTCAGTGTTCCTCTTAAATTTCATTTTGTCGGTATTAGACATTCTAACTGATCTGGGAGCAGGAGGGCTGCTTTTAGTTTCAAACCTGGTTTCCAATTAATCAAGGTACATACTTTTGGACAATTAAGTGAAGAGCACTGGCTGGCAGTCAGATCTGTGTTCTCAGTTTTGACCCAGCTGTGCTACTGGATAGCTGGGTGGTCTGGACGAAGTCCCTCAGTCTCTTGGAAAATATGATTCCTCATCTATATAATGAAGGATCTGGAGTAGGAGGTGTCAGAGGCTGGATCCGGTGCTACCTTGTACTGGGATGCTGTCTGTAGGAAATACCAAGGCTGGGCAAAACCCAATCACCTACAGTAAGTAGTTTGACTCAGTACTGTCTGCAAAATTATGTAAAACTGCTTCAAAGTGGAAATGGCTCCAGCAATCAGAAGAGGGCTTGGGATGCCTGGGTTATAAGGCTTCTCCCCTCCTTGGCAGAACACCTCGTGGGCTCAAATCTCAGGCAAAAAGAAAGCAACTTTACTATTTTTTAGACGTTAGATTAAAACAAAAAATCTGGAGGTCAAGTATTTGGAGGAGTTTTATTTCCAATTATATTTGTCTACAAATGCAATAGAAAGCAGAAGCACCCTCTGTGGTCTGGGAAGTAACCACTTGCCAAGTGCTCTTTTTCTTTTTTTTGACTAGTGAATGAAAAATGAAATGAAATTGCTGATGGCTTCATTAAATAGGGAAGAATTTCTAACACGTGTTAATTTGGCATCTTTTTTCTGTTATCCAGTAACAGTTAGACTTGATATATGTGAGTTGTGCATGTAGTCTACCAGCGAAGGTGTGCACGTGGTGTATTTGTGTGTGTGTGTGTGCATGTGTACACACCCAGAAGACTTTCTGCTCTGCAGCTCATACTCAAGAGACTGAAGGCTCCTAGTTTGTGGGAGATCTTTTCTGACAGGTCACTGCAGAACAGGCACAAAATGGTGTGTCTTCTGCTTTTATTTCTCATGAGGTTCAGGCACATGCTTGCTGTTTGTCCAGCTTTTAGTGGGATGCTCAGTCCTGAACTCTGAATCAATTCTCCCTCCCTCCCTTTCTCTCTCTCTGTCCTTCCTTCCCTCTTTCCTTCCTTCCTTTCTCCTTGCCTCACTCCTTCTGTCCCTCCATTTTTTATTGGGTATAAGAGTTGGAGTCATTCCGGTTTTAAGGTGAAGGTGTAGGCAGGGTTCTTTTCCTTTTTCCCCTTTTCCTCTCACTTCTCACACCTGACTCCATGTCTGGATGACTGAGCACCTCGCCCCGAGCATTTATTTGGTATTTAGCTTTGTTTTGTTGTTTGCACAGAGCATGGAGGGTCTATGCTGATCTGTCCCCGCCAGGCCCAGGGAGTACTAGGTTAGTGGAATAGTACAATTGAAAGCTCTTTTGCATCTGCAGAGTTATTATCTATCTCTCAGAAAAGGAGACCAATAAAAAAAACTTTTAGTTTTAAAAACTTAGCTCTTTTTGAGATAATGGTTGAGATATAGAAAAATATAATGACTTGAGCTAGTCACACAGCAACCAAGGGGAAAACCCAGAACAAACAATCAAATAAACAAACACTAAAATTATCAGCTCATGGAATTCCTTAAATTATTCATCTAAATGGCGTTTAGCTCTCGAACATACAAGGATACTTAAAAAAGTTTGTGGACAAGTTGAATTAAAAGGTAATATGAATTTTTCCTTGAAGTTTTTGTAGTACCCTCGTGCAGTTTACAATCAGGCTTCTGTTTAGCACACAGCCCTCCCCATGTCTGTCTCCAAGCCCAAAGGTTCTAGAACAAATGTTACTTAAAGTGTGATCCAAGGAGGCAGCACCAGCAATGGCCATGAGCAATGAAAACTTTGGGGGTTCTGTCTCAGACCTACTGAGTTGGAATCCTTAGGAGTTGGATCTGTTTTTGCCCATGCCTTGGAAGAGTATTTATGCACATCACAGTTTAAGAAGCCTTGCTCTCAGACACAAGTAAGTGAAGCCATGAATCTGGAGCATCTTGGTGGGACAGGTGGCCCATGCTTTCCAAGAAACTCATTAAAGACTGCCGCTTGGATCACAGCTTTCTGAAGTACTCAGGCAGCACAGCCCTTGAATGGTACCTTGTGTATCACAGATTCCACATATACA